CTTCCCGCAGGTCAGCCCAAACCCTAAACCCTAAACCCTAAACCCTAAACCCTAATCCCTGAATTCTAAACCCTAGGGTTTGCGCCGTGGGACCCCCGGCCGAGGCCCTAGACCCTCAACTCTAGCGGATTCCCTAGCGTCTGAGTCGCTGCTTGTACTCGCAAGGCGTAAACCCTAAACCCTAAACCCTAAACCCTAAACCCTAAACCCTACGCTTTAAACCCTCAGGCAAACCCTGAAGCAGAACCTCCGACCGGACTCTTAAGCCTCGAATCGCAAACCCTAAACCCTAAACCACAAACCCTAAACTGAAACGCTAAACCCTTTCTGCTTACAGAGTTCTAACAGTAAAGCTAACCCTGCGCCTTCAAGCAGACGCGCCAAGCCCTAAGCCCTAAACCCTAAACGCTAAACCCTAAACCCTAATTCTTAACTCTGATTCCTCAAGGGTTTACAACGCGCTGTGGTTTGGATGGACTGACGGCAGTGCAAGGAAATGCTTCTCTCTAGCAGCAGTCCGTCTTAACATTAATGAGGGATCTAGGGTTTAGGGTTTAGGGTTTAGGGTTTAGGGTTTGTATGTGTTTGTTGCAGGTGGTTCAAGCTGGTTTGTGTGCGGCGTGTTTTGCGGGGTGGTGTGTTTGTTCCCGGTGGGGATGTACATATATTTGCTGTCAGCACTGGAGTCCGCAGTACCTGCTGCTGCTGCTGCTGCTCCTGCTGCTGCTGCTGGCGGCGGGCTGCTGCACCCCTCAAACCTCCCGCGCTGCTTGCTGCTGCTCTGCGCCCTCTGGGCCTCTGCAGATGTGCTGCTGGTCTTCAGTTTATTCTTTTTGCATCTTCCCGTGTCTCCTTTGCCTGCGAACTTGCTGGAGCTGCGGGGTCTGTACCCGCTGCTGCCGCGCGAGCTGCTGCAGCAGCAGCTGCAGCAGCAGCTGCAGCGCGAACGCAGGCTCTTGGCTGCATGCGCCTTCCTCGTGGCCATTTGTGGCCTCATTGTCTTTATTATGATTCTCCAATGGACCAAAGCTGAGCTCACAAGTCCTTTAAGAAGGGCCTCCCACTCTTCTCTCTACAGAAGGTCCGTCGTGGGGGCCTCCCGGGGGGCCCCCCTGGGGGGGGCCCCCCTGGGGGCCCCCCTGGGGCCCCTCGGCACCCTGGGGGCCCCCCCGCAGCACAGCCGCGCGGCCAGGGAGCAGCGCAGAAGGCAGCAAGAAGAAAGCGAAGCAAAAATACAACTGGTGAAACAAAGACTGATGGTGGAGGTGAGCGACGGGGCTTTTTGGGGTGTATGTACACCCCAAGGTGTCTGTACACTGCAGTGCATGCGCAGCTTCAAGCGGCTCTTTTGCATGCCATTTTGTACCAATTAAATTACTTCTTGGGTCCCAGATTTGTACACAAGGGCAAATGTCCTTTTAATTCTTTTTTTTTGTTCTGCCTTTGTCTTTTCTCTTTATAATTCTTTTTTGCTGTCGCTGCAGCGCCATGTAGCGTAGCAGCTCACTGCTGCATGCATTTCCTCTGTTGCTGCAGCTAGCTGCAGCTAGCTGCAGGTAGCTACAGCCAGCTACAGCTAGCTACGGCTAGCTACAGCTAGCCACAGCTACCACATAACAACAGCTATCTAGCTGCTAGCTAGCTGTAGCTAGCTGCTAGCTAGCTGTAGCTAGCTGCTAGCTAGCTGTAGCTAGCTGCTAGCTAGCTGTAGCTAGCTGCTAGCTAGCTGTAGCTAGCTGCTAGCTAGCTGTAGCTAGCTGCTCGCTGCTGGTGGGAGCTGGGGAGCAGCTAGCTGTTGATTTATGTTGGAGTTGTTTTGTTTTGCTGCTGCAGCAAGTGCGGGAGCATCAAGGCCTGGGCTGCACAATTTGCCAAGAATCAATTTTGTGGGGTGAAGAAGTGCTGCGGGTGCCGGGGTGTATGCACACCTTCCACAGTTCTTGTTTGCTGGAGTGGCTGTCTAGACAGCTCAGCTGTCCCAATTGCAAGAGAGACATTTATGCTGCTGTCACTGCTGACTGCAGCGCAGCAGCAGCGGGAGGCAGGGGCCCCGGGGCTCCAGCAGCAGCAGCAGCAGCACCAGCAGCAGCAGCAGCAGCAGCCGCGGCCCCTAGCGCCCCAGAGCGCTTTCCCCTCGCCCAAGAAGTGGCAGCAGACACCACAGAAGGATGGATGGACATTGAACTTGGGCCCCGCACTGTGGGCTCCCAAAGCTAGCCAGCTAGCTAGCTAGCCAGCTAGCTAGCTAGCTAGCTGGCTAGCTGGCTAGCTAGCTAGCTAGCTAGCTAGCTGGCTAGCTGGCTAGCTAGCTAGCTAGCTGGCGCACCGGACACTGTCGGGCAACTGGCTAGCTAGCTAGCTAGCTGGCGCACCGGACACTGTCGGGCAAGTCTTCTGGGAGCAGCTAGTAGCTCGCTCCGTGGCTAGCTAGTGCCCGTTTGGCTAGCTAGCCAACCCCGCACCCACACAGGCGTAGCTAGTTGGCTAGCTGCTGGCTAGCTAGCCAGCTAGCCAGCTAGCTAGCTAGCCAGCTAGCCAGCAATGGGGAGATTTAGACAGGGGCCAACACTCCCCACACCTTCACAGTAGCAGCAGCTGCTAGGCAGCTGCACACAAAGAGAAGCTGAGTTTTAATTTCATAGACACCAACCCCACCCTCAACAATCTGCAGCAGCAGGGCCTGGGGGCCCTTTTGGGGCCCCCAGGGGCCCTCCAGGGGCCCCCCAGGGGCCCCCAGAAGGGCACAAAAGGTGGCCCCAAGGGGGGCCCCTAGGGGGCCCTTGGGGCCTTCAATGGGTACCTTAAAAGGGTCATCTGGCCCCCTTTTGAGTGCTCTTGGGGCCCCCAGTGGCCCCCGCAGGGGCCCAAAAGAGGGTAATAGGGTGTTACCCTCAGAGGCTCCCAGAGGCCCACGGGGCCCCCCAGGGGCCCCCAGGGGCCCCCGGAAGGTACTACAGGGGGCCCCCCAAGGGCACTAAGAGGGGCCCCCGGGCAACTCAAGAGGGGCCAGAAGGGTTTTTCTTGGGATTTTGTTTCTTGCGTTTGCGCACAAATGCAATTATGACAAACGCAGATTTGGTTGCATTAGTTGCATCAATTTAAGTCCTGCATATTCCTCCTGCCGTGAGCTTCCAAGATAGCTAGCTGTAACTAGCTGTAGCTAGCTGTGGCTAGCTGTAGTTAGCCGTAGCTAGCTGTGGCTCTCGGTGGAGAAACCTGTGGCCAGTTGCAGCTAGGTGTGGCTAGCTATAGCCAGCTGTGGCTCGCGGTGGCTAGCTACGGCTAGCTGCATCCAGCTACAACTAGCTACAGCTGGATGTAGCTAGCTGCAGCTAGCTACGGCTAGCTGCAGCTAGCTGCAGCCAGCTACAGCTAGCTGTAGCTAGTTCTAGCTAGCCGTTGCTAGGCGTAGCTAGCTGTGGTTAGCTGTAGCTAGCTGTGGCTCGCTGCAGATAGCTGTGGCTGGACGTTGCCAGCTGTAGCTAGCTGTGGCTAGCCAGCGCAGCTAGCTGCTTCTAAGGGCAAAAGATCTCAAGAAAAAAAAAATAAAAACAATAAAAATGAAGTTAACTAAATTTTGAGAATTTAATAAACGACAATTAATTAAATTTTGGGATTTATTAAACAAGAATTAATTAAAATTTGAAAAGTTGATAAACAAGAATTAACTGACTTTTGGGAATTTAACAAACAAGTTTAATAAAAGAGCAGCAGCGAGCATGCAGGCTGTATTCTTTATTACGTTAAATGTTTCTTTTCTTTAATTTGAATCTTTTCTTTAATTTAAATCTTTTCTTTAATTTAAATCTTTTCTTTAATTTAAATATTTTCTTTAACTCAAATTTTTCTTTAACTTGAGCCTTTTCTTTAATTTAAATCTTTTCTTTAATTTAAATCTTTTCTTTAATTCACATCTTTTCTTTAATTCAAATCTTTTCTTTAATTTAAAGCTTTTCTTTGATTTAAATATTTCCTTCAATTTGTGTCTTTTCGTTGATTTGTAACTTTTGGTTTCAACTTGCATTCAAGACAATTCATATTATTATTTTTGAGTGGCTAAAAAAGGTATTATAAAACTGTAATAATAAAAATTGAAGAGGACACATATTTGCAGAAGTATTTTATTTGTGCAATTAGCTGCTGGCAGCTTTTGCTGCGCTGCAGTCTGAAGAAACAACTGCTGCAGGAACAGCCTCGGGCCGCTGCTTCTCCAGTGCAGCAGCAGCAGCAGCAGCAGAAAAAGTATCAGCAGCAGAGAGTAAAGCAGCAGCAGAGAAAGCAGCAGAAACGCAAGCCGCAACGACAGCACCAAGGTCAGCAGCAGCAGCAGCAGCAACGAAGGCAGCAGCAACAGCAGCAACAGCAGCAACAGCAGCACGGCAAACAGCAGCAGCAGCGGCTGCTGCTGCACTTTTTGAATTCGCAAGTCCCAATTCATGTTTGCTGCAGCAGCAAATTGCCTTTAATGGGTTAAATGGACTTTGGGGGGTGCAGCAGCAGCCAGGACGACACTGCAGCAGCAAGCCGAAATGAACTGCTTCTTGTCTGGGAAGTTAAGCGACTTTTGAGGGCTCTTTAAGGTGAAAAACTTTCAAATAACTCAATTATAATTCAAAAGGTTAATTATAATTAATTAAAAGTGGCTAATTAAACTGAAGAAATCGAAAAAGACCCGAAGGAAAGCGTCGGCGCACCGAGTCGTCGCTGCAGCGTGCACACCCCCCTGATCGACTTTTCGTGGTGCTTTGTGCAGCAAAATGGACCAAAAAGGAGGCATTTCAGATATCTAAAACGGAAAAATAATAAAATAAATTTAAAAAATAGTTTTATTTCGAGTGGGAGGTTAAAATGCGGGCGGAAGGGGCTGCAGCACGAGGCTCCTGCCCAGCGCTGCTGCTGCTGCTGCTGCTGCTGCTGCTGCTGCTGCTGCTGCTGGTGCCTAGGGGCTGTGAAGCCTAGAAAGCCCCGCGAAGTGGTGCATGCAGAAGAATTGAATAGTCTGCTGCTGCTTTCCTTGGTTTTTATTAATTTGTTGCTGCTAGTTTGATATTTATGTCTTTTCCATTCGGCTTGAGGGTAGGCGAGAGCAGGGGCCGGGTCCTCCGCTGTCTGCGCCCACAATGCAGCGCCGCAGCTTTTCCTGTCTTTCTTTGTTTCCTTCTTTTTTGATTTTTAGTTTATTTTATTTTATTTTATTTCTTTTTCTTTTCGCGGGCGCGAGTCTTTCCCCGGCTAGTCCCCTTTCGCCCAAGCTGAGGGGCCCCGTGGAGTTTCCCGCTGCCGCTGCAGCAGCAGCAGCAGCAGGCTTGGGACCCGCGCCAGCAGCAGCAGCAGCGCCCGAGGACGGCGACGCAGCGCGTCTGTGGGAAGCAGCAGCCGCCGTACCCGGAGCAGCAGAAGGCGGCGCTGCTGCGCATGCATCGCCGCCGGGTTCGCCAGGGTCGCCAGCAGCAGCAGCAGCAGCAGCAGCAGCAGCAGGAGGTCCGGAGAGCCTGCCGTGGTTCGAGCGCGTGTCCCTGAGCTGCAGCGAGCCGAACCCGGAGTTCGAGCGGATGTCGCAGGTGTGTCTGTCGGAGGCGCCTGCTGCAGCAGCAGCAGCAGCAGCAGCAGCAGGTGTGGGGCCCCACAGCGTGCCCGTGGGCGAGTTCCAGCGCATGTGCCTGCTGGCAGCAGAGCACCTGGGCTGTCTCTACCGCAGGCTCGCCGTGGACTACTTGCTGCTGGCCCCCCTGTCCCCAGAAGAACTTGCTGCTGCTGTTGCAGAAGGACTTAGTGAGATTTTGGAAGAAGAGGACTCTGTCGCGGACTTAGTCATTTCCAAGAGACTTCCTCACGGGGCTCTTCCTGTGCATTCTCTCAAACAAGCAGTTCTCAACAAACTCCAGAAACTCCACAAAATCCGAAAAAGAAACGTCACCACAGCTCCCGGCATGCTCGGCCTCCAGCTGCAGCAGCAGCAGCAGCAGCAGCAGCAGCAGGGGGGGGGGGGGGCGGCGGGGGGGCAGGAGCGGCA